AAGAGGAACTAAAAAGCCTCTTGATGAAAGTGAAAGAGGAGAATGAAAAAGTTGGCTTAAAGCTCAACATTCAAAAAACTAAGATCATGGCATCTGGTCCCATCACTTCATGGGAAATAGATGGGGAGACAGTGGAAGCAGTGTCAGACTTTGTTTTTTTGGGCTCCAAAATCACTGCAGATGGTGACTGCAGCCATGAAATTAAAAGATGCTTACTCCTTGGAAGGAAAGTTATGACCAACCTAGATAGTATATTAAAAAGCAGAGGCATTACTTTGTCAACAAAGGTCCATCTAGTCAAGGCTATGGTTTTTCCAGTGGTCATGTACGGATGTAAGAGTTGGACAGTGAAGAAAGCTGAGCGATGAAGAACTGGTGCTTTTGAACTGTGGTGTTGGAGAAGACTCTTGAGAGTCCCTTGGACTGTAAGGAGATCCAACCGGTCCATCCTAAAGGAGTCAGTCCTGGGTGTTCATTGGAAGGACTGATGCTGAAGCTGAAACTCCAATACTTTGGCCACCTCATGCAAAGAGTTGACTCATTGGAAAAGACTCCGATGTTAGGAGGAATTGGGGGCAGGAGGAGAAGGGGACGACAGAGGATGAGATGGCTGGATGGCATCACCGACTCAATGGACATGAGTTTGAGTAAACTCCGGGAGTTTGTGATGGACAGGGAGGCCTGGCGTGCTGCGATTCATGGGGTCACAAAGAGTCGGACACGACTGAGCGACTGAACTGAACTGAACTGAAATAGAGTGATATGTAATTTTACTATTAGACAATATATTATCATAAGATATCAACTCTTCCTCCCACAAATGACCTATACCTATAATGTAATCTCAATCAAAACTACTTAATGGCTTTTTGAAAGCTAACTAATTATAAATGCATTTGGAAATGCAAAAGGCATGAGACAGGACATTTTTTAGTTCTAAGAAAAATGTTGAAAGACTTGGTCTACCAGATACAAGGTTATAAGAATCAAGACATGATGGTAATAGCACAAAAAAGTAGTAACACAGACACCAAGGATATAAAACACAAAGCCCAGAAACAGACTCACACATATATGCAAACCTGATTTATAACAAAGGTGTCAGGCAAATGACTGTCTTCTCAATATATGATGCTGGGATATATAAATAACTCAATCGAAAAAGTAACCCCCTATACTTCCCATCAGTTACAAAAATAAATTCCATGTACACTGTAGTTCTAAATGTAAAAAGCAAGATTATAAGGTTTCTGAAAGATAATATAGGAGAATATTTTCAGAATATTTGATGATCTTGGGGATAGGGAAATAACTTTTTTATATAGGTCAGAAAAGATACTAAAAAATAAAGGGAAAACACTGGTAAATTGGGCCACATTAAAATTAAGAAATTCTAATCAAGAAAGAAAGAGAAAAAAGAAACCTATCAAGAGAGTTCCAAGAAAAACCACAAAAAAAATAGGAAAATATGTTCCAACAGAGGTAACCAATAATGGGCTTATAGTCATATTAAGAGCTTTAAAAAAACATTGTCAGATAATTCAAAAAAATAAGTTGGACATTTGAACAGGCATGTCACAAAAAAGGACATCAAATGGCAGATACATGAGAAGATATTCAATCACATGAGAAATCAGAGAAATGAAAAGAAAAATCACAATGAGAACACTCTAGGACCACCAGAAAAACAGAATATCAAGTGTTGGCAAGGATATGGAGCAATGGTATCACTCATGCTGCTGACAGAAGTGTCAACTAATAAAAAAATCACCTTGGAAAAGTTTGCCCTTTTTTACTCAAATTGAGCATATACATACACTGTGACCAATAATGATACTCCAAGGTACATACCCAACATAAATGTGTACAGTGCACACCAACAGACGTATAAAAGAATGCTCACAGCAGCAATAATCACAATATTCCCAAACTGGAAAAATACAAGTATCTGTCAGCAATACATAAATACATAATTCTGTTATATTCATACAGTAGATCTATCAATGAAAATGAATAAACTTCTAACACATGCAACTAAAAAAATATATGAATCTATCAAATATAATACTGAAAAATAGCCACACAAGAAAGAATAAGTACTATGTGATTCAATTTATGTAATATTTTAAAAACCAGGCAAAAATCAATTTGAATGTTTGGGGATCATGCTTAGGGATCAATTTTCATAAAAGTCAAGCTAGTGTTTAGCTTTAAGAGAATGAGAGGTGATGATTGGGAGTGGGCATGAAGAGGGCTTGTGGGACATGGTAATGTTAGACATCTTACAGGGACAATACATGGTTGTTCATTTGGAGATAAATCCTAAAGCTGTACATTTTTGTTTTGCATACTTTTCTGAATTTATGTTAAATTGTGTCATCAGAAATATCAAAGGATGGCATGACCAGCTAATGTACATATTATAGAATGCTGCTCTGAGATGAGGAAGGAAGATGAAGACTGATATGTGGAGGTTATTAATGACCTTGAAAAGAAATGGTTTAGGGGAATATGGGGGGAGAAGCTCAAATAAACTATGCTGAAGAGAGAATGGGCCATGAGGAACAGAGGCGTGAGTATAGACAACTGCTTCAAAAGCCTTTGGTATGAAGGGGAGTAGCTGGGTGATAGTTCAAAGGGAATGTAAGATGAAGAGAATATATTGTGTTTACTTGCTTTAAGACAGGAGCTAGTATAGCACATATTTTGCTAAAAAGCCAGTTAAGAGGGATATAAGGTATAAGAGCAAGAGGAGATACGTGCAAGAGTGAAATCTTTGAAAGAAGTGAGGAAGACTTGGAACATAAAGCACACAGAAGCAGAGACTGACCTTTAACACAAACAGGATAAACAAGTGAATCTATAACAGTTATAACACTGAGAGAAGACGTAAGAGGGAAACTAATTCTAATGTGGGAAAAGGAGGAATGGAAGCATGTAATTAGGGAAGGTAGGATGGGAGGGGACATTTGAACTAAGTTTGGTAGGTAAACATTTCAATAGGTAGAGGATAAGAAGGAAGCATTTTAGGCAGGGATTATTACATAAGCCAAAGTCAATTCTTCAAAGAGAAATGGAACTGGGAAATAAGCTTATGAAGTAGTGAGAAGTGAGTGGTGTGTGTGCTTATAGCCAATACTTGTGAGAATGACAGAAGAATGAGAAGTGAGTCTGGAAATGTAGTTTGAAGAAAATAGCAGATGGCTTGGGAGATTGGTCTTAATCCTATGGGTATTAAGTAGCTATCATAGCTTATTCAGTTGAGAAAAAACCATATAATTTACTTAGTCTTTCTGATTTTTTTTTAAAAGAAAGGAACTCTTTCCTAAATACTAGAAAAAAGCCTGGATTAGAGAATGAGAAGGAGCAAGGAAATTTGGGCCGGAAAGAGCCTTTAGAAAAATTTAACAACAAAACCTGTGGATAATAATGAGAGTGGAACTATGATTCATTATATCTTCCCCTGGAACATTCCATTTTTGGTTCCATCATTCCATTATTTTCACCCAGATCAAAGGAATTAAAAGTATCATTTGATCTTAAAATATAATTATTTTCAACTCCTCGGGAAATTGGGACATTCAGAAGCATCTATGTATATGGGGAGTTTAGAAAGTCACAAACATGCCCAGGGAAAATGCTTTCTCAGAAAAGTCCCAAGAAGACCTGAAGCTTTCACTTCAGGCTGATCTCTAGGCTCAGAGCAGGCCTAACTGTAAGCTAAAGTCCAGCACAGTCAAAGTGCAAAGACTTGGAGAGCTGGTTGTTCTATTTTTGGGGGGCTTCTTGGCTTTCTTGCTGTTGTTTGTTTCAGCTGCTGGCAGTCAAGGAAATCTCTCAAACATCAGCTGAATATGAGCTAATGGAACAGAGATCTCATTGATCACACACAACAAGGAATAGTTTTTACGGAAATAGTTTGGAAAATTCTTTAAAGGACTATGACAGCCTTCAACAATAAAAAAGACATCAAACCTTAAAAAAAAATAGGGTATCTGATTTCCAGAGTTATCACATATAACAGTTTAATGCCCAGTTTTCAACAACAAAAAATCAGTAGGCATACAAAGAAAGAGGAAAACATGGCTCACTCAATTTAACAGAATAAACTGACAGGAACCATGCCTATGAAACTGCAGACATCAGACTTACTAGACGAAAACTTTAAAATGACTGCCTAAGAGCACTCAGAATGTTAAGAGAAAATACGAACAAAGAACTAAAGGAAGTCAGGAAAACAAATTATAGAAAAGAACCAAACAAATCCTGGAGCTTAAAACAGCAAAAACTAAAATAAAAAATTCACTAAAGAGATTTTAGAGATTTGGGCAGCAGAAGAAAGAATCTGAAAATCTGAAGATGGAACAATTGAAATAATTGAGTCTGAGAAGCAGGAAAAAAAAATGAAGAATTACCAAATGATCCAACAATTGCTTTCTGATTATATTTGAAAGTAGGACCTCAAACAGATACTTGTGCATCAATGTTCATAGCAGCCTTACCCACAACAGCCAATAGGTTGAAACTCCCCCAAAATCCATTAAGAGATAAAAGGAAAAACAAAGTGTTGCATATATGTACAGTGTAATATTATTCACCCTTATAAAGATATAAAATTATGATACACATTACAATATGGATGAAACTTGAAAACTGTATGCTCAATGAAATAAGCCAGACAAAATGAGAAATACTTATGTGAAGTATCTAGAATAGACAAACTTATATAAAGACATAAAGCAGAAAATGTTACCAAAGGTTGCGGGAAGAGGGGAATGGAAGTTATTATTTAATTGGTAGAGTTTTTGTTTGGGATGATGAAAATGTTCTGGAAATGAGTACTGTTTATGGTTGAACAACACTGTGAATGTACTTAGTGTAAATAATTGTACACTTAAAATTTTAAATGGTTAAAATAGCAAATTTTGTGTTATATATATTCACCACAATAAAAAAGTACCAAAACTGTAGATGCCTGTGAAAAAGTACCCAGTACTCACCAGTTCTAGCTTCCAATTTTCAGCCTCACCAGCAGAAGCTACTTTGACAGTATTGGCATTGCCACATGAAAATGATCTCTTTGCAGCTTCATCCACCCTATAGTCGTCACCTGTTGTAATCCAAGAATTCTGCATGTTTCCCTAAAATAAAATATGAAAGCACTTGCAGTTGACTTTTAACTTCTAAATCAATATACATACTTTACAAATGGAATACTGATTATCTGTGATGAAAGGAATAAGGAAAACAGCAGATGCTTCTAGATACAAATCAACAATTATTTTGCATTTTCAAGCCGTTAGGGGCATATTCCAAACCCGTGTTACAAAGTTGAATTCCTACAGGCAATAATGTAAATGAGTGAAGAGGGCTCTATATCAGTGTATTGAATAAATGAAATTGTCTCTTACCTCTTTAGAGACATATACTCTTGGAACACATAAATCTCTCTTGGTTTGTTTTCTATTTTCCACATTTCATAAAGCTATGACTAATAATAATAATTACTACATAAGATGTTTACTATGTGCCAGACACTGTTTTATGTCCTCCACATATATTAACTTAGTTAATCATTACAATAATTCTATGGGACAAGTTTCATTGTTATCTCCATTTTATAGAAGAGGAAACTGAGTTACGGAGAGTAACTGCTAAAAGTCACAGAGGTAGAAAGTGACTAATAAGTGGCAGAGCTAGGATCTGAAACCTACCAATCTAGCTCCAGAGTCCTAAACCACTATGCTCTTCTGCCTTTTCAGAAAATTATTTATCTTCAATGAGAAAAAACAGTGCATGGTGATAAACAGAACTGACATGCAGCTTACCTGTCAAGGATCCAAAAAGTAGTCATAGGGACCATGACAGAGCAACCCCAGAAAGAAGTCACTATTCAGTTCCAGTCAATTGCTGCCGTGTGTGAATGCCATCTCATATTACCCGCAAAAATCTTTAGATTTTCAAAAAGATGAGGCAGATATCTGGCTCTTCAATTGAAACACTGTTAAATACTGAGTCAGTTTTTCAAATAGACAAAACATGTCTAGAGACTGAATTTGGTGTACCCACTGTCAATTGGCAAACTTGGGCATTCTCTCAGCATTCAGTACAATAAGCAGCTCAAAATCTGGGCGATTTATGTGTGAATCCAGAACTAAAATATTTATTTAATTTATCCAACAAGTAATTAATGAACTCCTACTAAGGGCCAAGGGACACAGTAGTATTCATAAGCAAGGATATGTCCCCAAACACAGAACTATACTGTGGTGTCATATCATGTTAGAATGTGGTAAACTGTATTCATTCAAAGTAGTATTCTGAGATTCTATTCCATATTCTTTGGGAAGTTCAAAGAACTTGTATAATACTATCTTCCGGCATTCTGCTAAAAGCTTGGTGGCCAGTGGTGGGTGGTAAAAATGAGCAAGACCAATCTTAACCTTGAGGAGTTTATAGGCTAACAAAGAAGAGAAAAACCTAAGCAGATAATTTCAACTTAATAAAGCCTTAAGTGTGCATGTGAGGACAAGGCCAGACAGAAGAGGTATACTAAGAGCAATTGGAGATTCAAGGAAAGTTTCTGGAGAAGTTTTGACACTGGTGTGATATCTTGAAGGATGAAAAAAATAAGTTAGATGCCAAGAAGTGAGAACACCATGAGAAAACTCACAGAAATGAGAATAGCATGGTGCTTCCCAGAGGCTTTTAGGAAATTCAGTATTATTAAAGGTTGACATACAAGGCAATAATGTCAGAAGATGAAAGTAGAACTGTTTATGATAGCCAAAGCATGGAAACAACCTAAACGTCCATTTACAGATGAATAAATAAAGATGTGGTACACATACACAATGGAATACTACTCAGTCATGAGAAATGAAATAATGCCATTTGCAGCAACATGGATGCAACTAGAGATTATCATACTAAGTGAAGTAGGTCAGAAAGAGAAAGACAAATACCATTTGATATCACTTATCATGTGCCATATTTGTACCTAAAATATGGCACAAATTAATCTACACACACAACAGAAACAAGCCCATAGACATAGAGAACAGACTTGCAGTTGGCAAGGGATAGGGGAGAAGAGAGAAGGATAGACTGGGAGCTTGCTGTTGGTAGATGCAAGCTATTACATTTAGAATTGATAAACAAGAAGGTCTTAATGTAGAACACAGAGAACTATTTGATATATTCAATATCTTGTGATAAACCATAAGGGAAAAGAGTATAAAAAAGAACGCAAATATGTGTATAACAGCTATTTTGTGGTACAGCAGAGATTGGCACAGCATTGTAAATCAATTATGAAAGTGCGTGTGTTAGTTGCACAGTCGTGTCCAATTCTATACAACCCCATGGACTGTAGCCCGCCAGCCTCCTCTGTCTATGGAATTCTCCAGGCAAGAATACTGGAGTGGGTAGCCATTCCCTTCTTCAGGGGATCTTCCTGACCTAGGAATGGAACCCAGATCTCCCACATTGCAGGCAGATTCTTTACTGTCTGAGCCACCAGGAAAAATGAAAAAAAAAAAAAAAAAAAGAAGAAGAAGCCAGAGAATTAAATAAGGATCTGGAAAGTAAAGTATGCCATGCTAATAAGCTTGAACTTGATTCTTTAAGTAGGGAAAAATCTTCCAAGATTTAACTGTATTAAAAATAGTCTTGCAGAGCAATGAAGGAAAGTGGTACAAATTTCCTATGGAGAAACTGGAGGATGTATGTAGACTATAGATCACTGATTTATGATATCAAGTAATATTGTTTGGAAATAAGTGCTAGTCTAATTGACATGTTCTTTCACAGATAGCTTTCAAAAAACTTGAATGATATTTGATCAAGATATAAAAAGTCAAACTACATTTACATCCCTGAAGATCACTGAAGACCTCTGATTTCTTAATTGAGGGGAGGGGTTGAAATGGAAGGGATGAAGAGACATGGAAAGAAATAGCTCAGAAATTTTCTACTTAAAAAAAAATTCTAATAAAAAGAGTATTTCAATATAATTTTTGAATTTGTAAGAAAAGCCCCTCAAGAAGGAATATGATAAAAACTGAAGATGCAAATGAAATATTCTTTGAATGGTTTTAGTTATTTAAAAATAATCTGCTTGCCTCTTCAACTGTTAAGTCAAAAACTAAGCTAAAAGCTAAAAGTCATGTAGGCTACCATCAAAGTCCCAGTCCATGGCAAAGATGGTTTGGTTTAATACTGATAAGCTATTCCTAATCTAGTCAGAAAGGCATTATTATTCAAGGCCAGGGAGATGGATCAGGGGAGTCAGACAGTGCTGTGTTTGAGTTCTAGCTTTGTAGGTTACTTAACTGATGTATACCTTAATTTAATCATCTGAAAGTAGATGTAACAACACCTGCCTTATGCGGCTATCATGAGACTGAAATGATATGATGTAAACAAAGTATTTGATACAGTACCTGGCACATCATAACCATGCAGTCATCAATAAATATTAATTATCACTATATACATATTTCAATTGTTTTTCCAAAGAAGGCATTAAGAAACACTGAAAATACATATTCAAATCTGCCAATAGCTTAGGCAAGATTTACCATCAACATGGTAATAGGCTCATTAAAAAGAGTTTAGGAAAAAAAGAAGATAATCTCTCTCGATCTGTTTATATTTAAGATATTCTAAGTAGCTTTATTTATATCAAAACTCTCAATACAACACTATTCATAGGTTGCCAAAATGCCTCAATTCACCTCCACAAGTAGAAAGTGGGGAAAATAATTTTGTAACAACAAAATAAAACAGAAGACTAACATTAAAATAGGTATCAAGTTCACCTGACACATATGCAACAATCATTTCAATATCTGCATTATGTTTTAGCTCATGTGAATGTTTTTCTTTTTTTTAAGTTTTCTACAACTCTATCCTTTCTTTTTTTTTTTTTTCTCGTTTTCCCACCTTTAATAAGAAACCTCTATTGACACTCCCCTGAATCCCGGAAGACAGAATCCCCTGGGTCCTTCCATCATATTCTCACATCAGGTGAGAACTTCCGTGTCTAAGCCACACATGTTTTGTGTCCTGAGAACGATCAGTGCGCTCCGTTGTTCTCGCTTGGTCACTAAGTCGTGTCTGACTCTTGAGACCCCCGTGGACTGTAGCCCCCAGGCTCCTCTGTCCATGGGATATTCTAGGCAAGAGTACTGGAGTGGGTTGCCATTTCCTGCTCCAACTCTATCCTTTCTATAATCTGTGTATCTGGAGTTTTCTTAAGCAAGTTTCCTTTGTTCATAAGGCAAAGCATATGTGCTTTTACCATCATTTCCTTCCCCTTTTGCATTACTCACTTCTCTAGCTCTCTGATGCACTTGTCTGCCTTATTTCCTTTCTCATTTCACTTCCCCATCTTCCACTTCTTTGCACTGTATAAATATCAAAGACTATGAATAACTGAGTCACTGTCCACTGCATATTTGGAAGAAAATCAAAAGAATATATTATTTAAAAAATGAGCTTACTTATAAGTACTTTTTAATGAATCATTTTCAAATTGACCCAAAATAATAGCAACTAAGGCAAAATTTTTAAACACTAATATTAATAATACAATACTATAAATACTCAGAAAAAGTTATATGATGACTAAAATAGCTGATCACAAAGTGATGTGTAATTGCAGAAAAATAAACTAAAATGCTAATCAGCTCACATTATTATTCAGAGTTAACACATCCAGATACAATAGCAAATTCTAACACATAGAACCACCGGATTACAAATGAAACAACAGGTCAGGTTAAGAAAAAAACTTCAAAAATTAGAGGACACCTAAATAAAACATTAAAACAGTTGTTTTTTTTCCTAAACAGAACTAATAACGACTAAAGCAAAAGCACCAAAATACACTGCAAAGTAAAGCCGAAACAGGCAAGTACCAAAACTTTCCCATGAAAAATTGAGTTTTGTCTCAAAAAGCAGAACAACTGTTATCAACTACATCCCACAGCAGAAGAGTAAAAAATATTTTGAAGGCAAAAGTATCTCTGACAACTCATAAAGAGAAATTAACTTTAAACATTATTTAAATATCATCATAAAAATTTTATGTCACAGAATTATAGAGATCACATAATTCTCTGTTCCTCAAAATGTATTCCACTGATAGATTCACTTTGGCAACTTGCTCAAACACTAACCCAGACCAACTCTCAGGGGATAAAGCCCAGGATCTGCACTGTCAGCAGGCATCCCAAACCCCATTCACATTAAAGAGTAAGGACTGCTAATATTGGCAAATTTCTCAAATTGCCAATAAATAAACAGAGGACTTACAAGGTGAAGCCAAGCCTGAAAGTCCTATAAAATTACTTGCCAGACATACAGCTTGTTAGGGTCAATGGGAAGATTAACATTTTGAATCTTGGACACACATGTCAGTGTTCTTTCTGCTACACCATGCTAATTAGACTTACTGGAACTCAAAGTTCAAAGACAATTTAGAGAAATACAACAGAAATCTAAGCTACAGTTCTGAATAGTTGCTGGGTTTAACGGAGTCCAGCCCTGTTAACATACTTCCTATATGACATACTTCCTGCTTTCAGACTTGCTCTTTCGTATGGAGAAAACACAAACGGTAATGCTCAGAGAGGAAACTGGCATGGCTGCTAGGCACCACTGCATCATTTAATTTGAGGAGTCATACCACCACAGCGATTTTTAATTTCTGCAGCCCCAAGTAAATACCAGCACAGTACTTCTGCCAAACTTTAAGAAAAAAACTGAAGCAGTTAAGAAGGCTGAGAGAGAGGGTAGGAGGCAACATTCAGACTATATATATTTTAGTTTAATGGTTTAAATAAATGCTCACAGATTCATCCAGAAGTGTTTGTTCCCTCATTTCTTCTTGTCCTCGAGATTTCAGCTGTTGTTGGAGCCTTTCATTTTCAAGCACAATTACTTGTATCCTATTTTTCATTCCAGACAGTTCCTCCTATAAAAAGCAGAAACAAATACCAAGTACATTTAGCATTTTTTCTTGCCTCTTTTTTTTCTTTTTATGAAATGCCACTTGTAGACTGCATACATTAAGCAATCTTAAGTAGTGCTTTTCTTTTTCTTTATTTTGAAACTTTGTGTCTTTTTTTTTCATTTATTTTTATTAGTTGGAGGCTAATTACTTTACAATATTGTGTAGTGCTTTTCTTTGTTGATTACTAGATGATCCAACATGATATGAAGCATGGAAGACTGATGCTCTCTATCCATCTTCTGAAATATTATAATTATATCTCGACAAACAAGAAACTCAAGCATTAGCTAACAAACAGAAGGCTGGAGGAAGACAGTAGACAGCCTGCTAATGGCACCACAGGACTGTGTGGTTTCTGACAATTTTATTTTACAGACTTATATAAATTCTTTAATTAAAGGGTTTCTCTAAAAGACTTCTAAACATGATGTAGATACACTCCTAAACAAATAAGGAAAGATATATTATTATTTATGCTCAAATACCAATAACATTGAAAACTGACAGAGGGTTACATAGATAATAAAGGACACTGAGACAGAAAGGTGAGGAAAGTTACAGTGATTATCTATGAACGGGTAGCCAGATGGAAGGAAACTATGAGTGAAAAAAGCTTGGTGGGTAGTTCTTAAAGAGTGTTTCCTTGGCTGTGCAGGGAGTAATATAAAGAATTATAGGTATATAACAATTTGTATAGCTATTAAGTAGCATCTCATCCTGAAAAAATGTAAAAAATACTGATATATTGAGGGTATAACACTTAATCTTCATTACCATTATAATAAACAACTATTGCACAGCATATAAAAATTCCATTCCATTTATCTTTTCAGAAAAAAAAATTCAAAGCTGTAATTGAAAACCATAATTAAACAAATATTGTAGACTTCCAATTTTTGGTCTGACATATAAGAAACTTGGAAGACATCACTCCCATCTTCATAACCAGAAAAAGAGCTGAACAAGCTTAAAAATAAACTACTCTTCTTAGATCCATCAGAGAATTAAGGTCACAGGGAAAACTATTATCCCTCAGAATGGAAAGACAGACAAGCACTTCTGAGAACCACAACCTAGCAGAGCAGAAACTTCTGGAGGAGCCAGTGGTAGGGTAGAAAAATATAAAAATAATTGATGAAATGCTGGAAGCTTAGTATAGTGCAGTTTGAGTTATAAACCCCAGAGGAATCCAGTCTCTGGAGGGGAAGGTGTCTCCTACACTTTTATGAGCTTTATCTCCAAAACATGAGCAGATTCTAGTAGCAAAGGCTAGAGGAAACCCCACTCCTGTCTCCTCCAGTAGGAGAGGAAAAGTAACCCAAAAGCATTCTGTTCTTTTTAACCAGGACTGCCTCAAGAGAAACTATTTTACCAGAGCCTGAGAAACTGGTTTTTGGTTTTTTTCCCCAGAACCTAAGTGACCTGGGGGAAGAGAGGGGAAACCCAACTCCAACTTCCTAGCCTTCTCATCCCACTTAAGGGGAGAGGGAGACTGAGAAACACTTGTGAAGGATATAGCCAAGGGCACAGGGTCACTAAAAGACTGAGACATGATCATAGGATTACAAAATACTCCCCCTACTCCCATACCCTACCACCACATCGAAAGTACTCTTGTATCATAACAAGGGAATACACTAAAATAACTGCACATCTCAGTATATACTTAAGAAATCTTGAGGGAAACCCAAAGACAACAGTGGAGACAAAACCAGAACACTAGAGGAAATTTTAGCCTCTGACACATATAGTAGCAGCAAATAATAAACACAGTCTAAGTTCTACAACAAATAAAAAACCTTACACTAAATGTATATTTCCCTCAGTTCCTTTTATTCAATCCATCATGTCCAGAATTCAACAAAAAATTAGAAGGCATACTAAAAGACTTAAAACACAGTTGTAGGAGACTAAACACAAACCAGACTTAGATATAGCAAAGATGTTGGAATTATCAGATGGAGAGTTTAAAATAATTATGATTAGCATGCTAAAGGGTCAAATGGGGGAAAGTGGTCCACATGCAAGAACAGATGGCTAATATAAACAGAGATGGAAACTAAGATGAAAAGCAAAACGCTGGAAATCAAAAACACTGCAGAGGAAATGAAGATTGTTTTTGAAGGGGTCATTAGTAGACTGGACACATACAAAGAATTAAGCTTGAATAAGTGTTAACAGAAGCTTCTCTAACTGAAATGCAAAGAAGAAAAAGAATGATACTGACAGAACAGAATACCCAAGAATTGTGGAACAATAATAAAGGTGAATAAAGAGAGAAAGGAGGAGAAGAAATATTTAAATGAATAATGATTGAGAATTGCCCCAAATTAATTATAAGTGCCAAACCGCAGATCCAAGAAGCTCAGAGACTGGGCAAGACAAAACTGAAAAATCAACACTGAGGTATATCACATTGAAACTGCAGAAAATCAAAGACAAAGAGAAAAAAGAAAAAATTTAAAGATGTCAAAGGGAAAAACCTTACCTGTAGAGAAGCAATAATAAGAATTACATGAGGTACTCTAGAAATCATGCAGGCATGGACAAAGTATAATGGAATATTTAAAGTTTTGAATGAAAAGAGCCCCAACAAGCTAGAATTCTGTAGTCAGTGATACCAACCTTCAAAAGTTAGGGAAAAACAAAGACTTTTTCAGATAACCAAAATTAGAATATCTGTCTCTGGTAGACCTGCCTTGCAAGAAATGTTAAAAGGATGTTCTTCAAGAAGTAGGAAATTTATTTAGGTTATAAACTCAGATCTACATAAAGAAAGAAAAAGCAGTCCAAGAAGGCATATAGAGATAAGTATAATCTTCTATTTTTCTTAATGTTAGCTGGTAAAACAGATAACAATCTGTTCAGTATCATATTAGCAATAGTGTATATAGATCCAACCAGTCCATCCTAAAGGAAATCAGTCCTGAATATTCATTGGAAGGACTGATGCTGAAGCTGAAACTCCAATACTTTGGCCACCTGATGCAAAGAGCTGACTCATTTGAAAAGACCCTGATGCTGGGAAAGATTGAAGGCAGGAGGAGAAGGGGATGACAGAGGATGAGATGGTTGGATGGCATCACAACTCAATGGACATGAGTTTGAGTAAACTCCAGGAGTTGGTGATGGACAGGGAGGCCTGGCGTGCTGCAGTCCATGGGGTCACAAAAAGTCGGACATGACTGAGTGACTGAACTGAACTGATATAGTGATAATAGCTTGTGGGTAACTGAAATGAATGACAGAAATGCATAAGGGTCAGGAGGAAGGAACTGGGACCACTCTGTTAAAAGGAATTTTCCCAACCCCTGAAGTGTTTATTGAAAACACACTTAGATTCGTGGTAAAGGTAACTGCAAACTCAAGGACAACCACTTATAAGTTTTTTTTTTTAAAAAAAAGAATTTCAATTGATATGCTGAGAGGATAAAATCGCAATCATATAACATGCTAACTCAAAACCAGAGATGGTACCAAAAAAAACCAGAAAGAACAAAGGCAATGAATAGAAAACAGTAAAAAATATGGCAGGTATTATAGATAGCCAACTGTATCAATAATCACTTTAAACATCCATGCTCTGACTATATCAATTAAAAGACAGATTGCCAGAGGAAATAAAAGACAAGACCCAAGTACACACTGTCTACAAGAAGCCTTCTTTAAATCTAAAGACACAGATACTTTAAAAGTAAAGTAATGGAGAAAGATATACCATGCTAATATAAATCAAAAGAAAGGTAGAGAAAAAGCAATACCTGAGCATTTGCATATTTTTTCCTCCAGAGCTCCAGGTACGTTTCTAATGAGCAATCATGTTAAAAACAACTGGACTATATGATGATCTTTTACTTTTAACTAGTTTCACTTTTTCTATTTCATATTCAGTGCTCATTTCATTTAGTATATGTTCTCCAGTTTCTTCATCTTTTTTTTATGTTCTTTCTCAGCCTTTATCAAGTGTAGCAGAAAAGTTTTTGCATACATATATATAAATATGTGTAATATACACATTTTAGAAAGCTTATGAATTTATGCATAACTAAAAAATTATGACAGTTTTATCCCACTTGTTTGATTTAATATGAATAGAATGCTAGATTTCTAATTAAATAGATATGCAATAGCAATAAGCAACAAACATTTACTGTATAGCATAGGGAACTATAGTCAATATCTTGTAATAATCTATGATGGAAAATAATTTCAAAAATAATATATGTGCATTTGTATAACTGAATTACCTTGCAATGTACCTGAAGCACTATAAGTCAACCATACTTCAATAAAATATAGATATTTTTAAAAAGAAAAACATAAGAACAATAAAAAAATTAAGTAGCTATATTAATTTCAGGCTTCATAGTAAGGAAAAAAAATATAATAAAGATAATAAAGAGGCATGACATATTGATAAAAAGTTCAATTTTCCAAGAAGACATAATAATCCTAATGTATATGTGCCTAACAACAGAGCATTAAAATACATGAAGTAAAAACTGATAGAACTGCAAGGACAAATAGATGTATTTACTATTTCAGTTAGAGATTGCAACATTCCTCTATCAGTCATTGACTGATCTGGCAGACTGGCAAAATATCAGTATGCACATAGTTGAACTGAATACCACCATTAATCAGTTGGGTCTAATTGACATTTATATACTACTTCATCCAACAACAACAAAATATACACTCTTCTCAAGCTAACACATAACATTCACCAAAACATACCCTATTCTATTGTCTAAAACCATATATTAACAAATTAAAAAGAATGGAAATCACAAAAAGTATGTTCAGACCACAATGGAATTAAACTAGAAATAAATAACAGAAAGATAGCGGGAACACTCCCAAAATATGTGGTGATTAAATAATACTCTTCTAAATATATACAGGTCAAGGATAGGCTTCAAGAAAAAAATTTAAATTATTTTGAACTAAACAAAAATGAA